AACTTGGCTGGTCTTCCCTCCAGTCTGCTATCCTTTTTTCCTCTCCTGTAGTTTGTTAAATTCTTTGATATTCGCAAAACTCCGGGATCTTTCTAGTGCTTTTTTCTAATTCTTCAGCAAAAAGAAAATATCTTAGCTCTTTTTATTTTCCTTTGCAGAGTGTGGACAGTTTTGACAACAACAATGTAGGATCTAACAGTTTCAATGATAATGGAGTAAGTATAAAATTTAATAATTAAAATTTAATAAATAAGTAAGCAGAATAACTAGGCTTGGAGATCATTTGTCGTCTTCATTCCTCAGTAGGAGGTTAAAAACTATGTTTTGAAAGCTGTATAGAAACTCTTAAATGCAATTCCTTTCTTTCGATTCATCCAAAAGCTAAACATCATCCTTATTTTCTCAAAGTTACCGGGTAAAAAGTCATTTGTCAATGACTGAAGAAAGGTATTTGTAGCGCATGCTTAAATTGAGTTATGAGGGGGATAATATATATATCATGTCAATAATAAATTGGCATTAATCAGCTTGATCAACCACAGAAGCCTAGATTTTGTCCCAAATAGCCAATCTCTGTTATTTATGTTTTATTTTTAAAATTACAATAGGCAGTTTCCCATTATGTTGTGTTTCTGTAACTTTATTCAAGGAACAAACCAATAGCAGCTTGGTAAGATTAGGGATGTGGTGGCTCAGGGGCTAAGACACTGAGCTTGTCAATCAAAAAGGTCNATATATGGTTAATTAAGCAAACTGAACGGCCATTGGTATCGAAAAAATATGGTTTCCTTTCTTCAAGATTTAAATGATCTCAGAAAACTAATATGGGGTTAAACAGGAGAACCCAGGAAATCCCAGGAATATATTTGTGAAAGAGGAGGGAAAGGGTAGAAACATTTTGGAAAAAAAATGTCTTTTCTTTCCCTTGCTCTTATTATTTTGCCCCTGTCGAGTTAAAATCAGAAATTCTCAAAATAAACCTATTCTTTTAACAGGGACGTGTTGGCTGAGTGGCTAAGATGCTGAGCTTGTTGATGAGAAAAGTCAACAGTTCGGCGGTTCGAATCGCTAGCGCCGCGTAATGGAGTGAGCTCCCGTGACTTGTCCCAGCTTCTGCCAACCTAGCAGTTTGAAAGCATGTAAAAAATCCAAGTAGAAAAATAGGAACCAGGTTCGGTAGGAAGGTAACAGCGTTCCGGGCGCTGGGAATAGAGAAGAAATACAGGGCCATGAAGGAAGGGGAGACGGATGCGTGGTCAGCTATAAGGAGCAAAGTATTTGTGGATCTTGGGCATGGTTGGAAAAGAAAGGAAGAAAGGGCTTGGTCATTCTGTGGATAAATCAGGTTGGGCTCACAGAGGCAAATTTGCTCATGATAACAGGTGCTGATAGTTTAATATATCAGTGGCCACTGCCCATGATAGCTTCCAATATAAGTAGAAGCATCAGTAGAGGCCTTATCCCTATTCCTATTTCAGAAGGAAAGGAAGACAGAAGCAACACCAAGATGCAAGTCAAAGTTGTGGCTCTTTTTCTGGCTATCTGCCTCCTCACTTTCGAAGGCACCACAGCTAGACCTGGGGTAAGGAGCGGTTTGGGTGAAGGAAGGTTCATATGGGATGCAGTGGCTCAGTGGCTAGGACACTAAAAAGTTGGGAGTTCGATGGTTTGAATCCCTAGTGCTGCATAATGCTCCAGTACTTGTCCCAACTTCTGCCAACCTAGCAGTTCGAAAGCATGTAAAAAATGCAAGTAGAAAAAATAGGGACCACCTTTGGTGGGAGGGTAACAGAGTTCCATGCGCCTTCGGCGTTTAGTCATGCTGGCCACATGACCATGGAGACGTCTTCGGACAGCGCTGGCTCTTCAGCTTTGAAACGGAGATGAGCACCACCCCCTAGAGTTGGGAACGACTAGCATTTTTTACATGCTTT